GCCAAATGAATCACTACAGCACAGACTCGGGCGCCAAATGTATCACTACAGCACAGACTCGAGCGCCAAATGAATCACTACTGCACAGACTCGGGCTCCAAATGAATCACTACAGCACAGACTCGGGCGCCAAATGTATCACTACAGCACAGACTCGAGCGCCAAATGAATCACTACTGCACAGACTCGGGCTCCAAATGAATCACTACAGCACAGACTCGGGTGCCAAATGAATCACTACAGCACAGGCTCGGGCGCCAAATGAATCACTACAGCACAGACTCGGGCTACAAATGAATCACTACAGCACAGACTCGGGCTACAAATGAATCACTACTGCTCAGACTCTACCTCCAAACGAATCACTACTGGGCAAACTTTGGCTCCAAATGAATCACTACTGCACAGATTCGGGCTCTAAATGAATCCCTACAGTGCCGACTCTGACTCCAAACAAATCACTACTGCACAGACTCAAGCTCCAAATGAATCAATAGTTCATCTTGGCGGCTGTTATAGTAAAAACAGTAAAAGTTTCCGGAGAATTCCACATGTAAATGCTCATTTCATATGCAAAGATGTTAGCCAATCATAGCAGAGGGAGTTTCCTGTGAAGTCTAACAGCAGACACGCCCCTTCCAACAGAGCCTTAAAATCTCAAATCTCAAAAAGAGACTAAATTCAGGAAAATTACCATTTATATCTAAATTATGACCATTTTTGATGACACCCAAAAAAAAAAAAAAACATACTGAGATTATAAGTGCACCTCAGGTGCAAACATTATAAAATCTAATTTAAAAATGCATTTCATCACTCGTTGTCAACCCATACTTGTTCAAATGAAACATTCATGCTGTTATTTCTGAGCTGCATGCAAAAATATTATCAGTTCCCAAATCTGACTTGAGATGTAGTCTAGTATCATAAATCACACCGTATTGTCAAGAGGAAAATGAGAAACAAGAGACCAAAAAATGCAGATGAGCTGAAGGCCACTGTCAAAGAAACCTGGGCTTCCATACCACCTCAGCAGTGCCACAAACTGATCACCTCCATGCCACGCCGAACTGAGGCAGTAATTAAAGCAAAAGGAGCCCCTACCAAGTATTGAGTACATGTACAGTAAATGAACATACTTTCCAGAAGGCCAACAATTCACTAAAAATGTTTTTTTATTGGTCTTATGAAGTATTCTAATTTGTTGAGATAGTGAATTGGTGGGTTTTTGTGAAATGTGAGCCAAAATCATCACAATTAAAAGAACCAAAGACTTAAACTACTTCAGTCTGTGTGCATTGAATTTATTTAATACACGAGTTTCACAATTTGAGTTGAATTACTGAAATAAATGAACTTTTCCACAACATTCTAATTTATTGAGATGCACCTGTAAGCCTGGTTTCTATTGTCTTCTGTTCACAGTAACATGATAGTAATCATAACAGTAGGGTTAGGATATACTACTGAATAAACACTTTAATTATAGGAAAACGTCCAGAACAACATATAAGGAGTAAACGATGACAATTTTCATTTTTGACTGAACTACTGTACTATACTGTAAAAATGCATTAACCCACTGCCTAGATTTAATATATATATGATTTATTATTGTAAAAGCATCTCATTTCTCAGGCTCAGGGTTCCTGTATCACATCAGGTGTCCCCGGGCCCTTCAGCGCTCCTGTCATCTCACCACTCACTGGACACTCACAAACTACCCAGATACCCCAGCCATCCCAGGACATCCCACCCTGACAGTACGTCCCTGTTTTCCTTTATATCCTTATCTAATCTAGTTCATGCAAAAGGTATGACGATGCTGTAAATTAAAGTATGGAAAATATCCCTCAAATTAAGTTTCCACAACCAGTTTACAAAACCTACAGCAGCGTGCACCAGAACACTACAGCTGCACGATTTGGTAAGAATTTTTTTTTATAAATTGCGATTTTGCTGATAAAATTGTAAATTAAAATTGAGCAGATTTAAAGAGAGAGAAAAAAAAAGATACTGACCAAAATTTTGTGATTCTATATAAATATGGTGATAAAATATTAATAATAAATAATAATATTTTTAGCAGTAATAGTATTATAACTATTAAATAGAAATACTACAATTATTTAAAAACGAAATGGGAATATTACTATTGTACTACTACAATATTAAAGTGAAAAAAATGCTATTGTAATATTTTACTGTAAAACAAAATTTAATATTTAAGAAAAATATTATTATTATTAATTATACTCAAATTAATTTTGCATTACAGCTGTAAAGTTACAATATTAATTTTTATGGATGTCTTAATGGCTTTATTTTCAAATGTTAAACCATCAAACTTTTGTTGACTGATATTTGCATTAAGTTAACTTTTTACAAACTTTGTAAAGCAACCTGTTTACAGCCATCTACATACACATTTTTTCTGATAAAAAGCGCAATTTAAAATGTGTATATATATATATATATATATATATATATACACACACACACCATATATATTT